AAGTCAGTTAAGACAGCCGAGGAGAGGGGCAAAACGACGCCTGAAGATAGGCAACCGGCCGTCTTTTCGGTCGAGACAGCGACTCGCGATAATAACGTTTAAACGCGGGCAACATGTTGTATTCAGATTGTATCATTTGCGTTATATTCTTTATATTAGTATTTTATTATGTTCTATTTTTAATGCGCGAGATACAGGATATAATTGATCTAATAATGATCTAATCAAATAAGAAACTCCAAATATTTTATGTTGTAAAGTCCCGCTAGGGCAACGTATTATGTTATATTATTATAAGTATGCATGAGTGAGAGTGAAAAATGAATAAATACCGATAAGACATAATTACTGATTGTTGAAACTTATAACTTTCCTCGTGATCCTCAAAAAAGATAAGTTAAAGTAAAAGAGCCATGAAAAGGCTACAAGAATGATAAAATAGATTAAAAATGCATTTCAGCCACAAGAGACATAATAATTGTCAGTTTAAGTTTATTTCAAAGCATTCAAGCCACGAGCTTTCGATTGTTTAATCAGCATTATATTTTCAGTGATTAAAGCCACGAGCTTTCAAGTAAAATCAGTTTGGCGATAAAAGTCGCATATTTCTTAGTTTCAAATAATTTGAGCCACGAGCTCCGTCAAAGATAATAATTAATTCATTTTGAGTAAATTCAGCCACGAGCTTCGTGGAAATAAAGAATCTCATCGTTAAAAGTTAATAAAAGATCGATTTAGCCACAAGGCTGTAAAGGTATTACATTTCATGAGTTTCTCGCATGAGCGATAAAAAATAGCCATGAGATTCGTGTCTGACGTTAAAGAGATAATTTCGACGATAATTAGCCACAAAGAGGCAATATTTAGTTTATTCCGTTAATTGCGGTAATCAGAAGGCATAATTAGCCACAAGAATGTATTATTGCGCAATAGTGCCATAAGAGCCGTTAGAAAATGCCTAGTAGTAAGATGATGTCAGATCACGCCACGAAGACCGTTATCAAAGATAGAAAGAGAGGATCCGATCACGAGGAAGGGAGAGCGAGCTTGTTTGTCTCGCGAATCGAGCCGAGAGTGGGGATACTATATAAGGCGAGCTCCCGCCCGGCAACAACGAGTGGTCCTTCGGAACCGAAAAAGTCAGCATCCACGCTACTCTCGAAGGCTATCCCGGCGCGACGTTAATCAAGTTCCGCGTCGTAATTAACGAATTACGTGGCCGTTTAACAACGCTTTCGATAAATAATAGATCGGGC